CTTAACATTGCTGAGTTGTCTTAACATTGTTGAGTTGTCTTAACATTGCTGAGTTGTCTTACATTGCTGAGTTGTCTTAACATTGCTGAGTTGTCTTAACATTACTGAGTTGTCTTAACATTGTTGAGTTGTCTTAACATGCTGAGTTGTCTTAACATTGTTGAGTTGTCTTAACATTGTTGAGTTGTCTTAACATTACTGAGTTGTCTTAACATTGTTGAGTTGTTAGAATCTCACAAAAACGTACACTATAAAGTACTCACCTAGATGTGCTTGCGGAGGTTGAGCTCTGGCTCTTTGGTCCCGCCTCTCAACCGTCAATCAACAGGTGTACAGGTTCCTGAGCCTACTGGGCTCTATCATATCTACACTTGAAACTGTGTATGGAGTCAGCCTCCACCACATCACTGCCTAATGCATTCCATTTGTCAACTACGCTGACACTGAAAAAAATTGTTTTGTAATGTCTCTGTGGCTCATTTGGCTTCTCATTTTCCCAAAATAAAGTATTGGGTGCCTGTTAATTTCATGCTGATAATTACCCTGTGTTTTTTCGTATATCTTTCATTAATAAATTTTTAAGTAAATTATGCTTAGTCCTCATTATGGTAAACGCTTCTCGTGCTCCACTATATACCAAAGTCATCACAACATTGCTCAGTTTTCATTTTCATAAATTCTGCAAAAATTTTCTTTTTTTCGTGTCCGGCCTTGTTGACGTTATAAATATTGAACTGGTTTCCTGAGACCAAATTGGTGGTGTTGCTGTCTTCTGTCTCACGTGATGATGTGGAGCCTGTCTGTGGGGCCTGTCTGTGGGGCCTGTCTGTGGAGCCTGTCTGTGGAGCCTGTCTGTGGAGCCTGTCTGTGGGGCCTGTCTGTGGGGCCTGTCTGTGGAGCCTGTCTGTGGAGCCTGTCTGTGGGGCCTGTCTGTGGGGCCTGTCTGTGGAGCCTGTCTGTGGAGCCAGTCTGTGGAGCCTGTCTGTGGAGCCTGTCTGTGGAGCCTGTCTGTGGAGCCTGTCTGTGGGGCCTGTCTGTGGAGCCTGTCTGTGGAGCCTGTCTGTGGGGCCTGTCTGTGGGGCCTGTCTGTGGGGCCTGTCTGTGGGGCCTGTCTGTGGAGTCAGTCTGTGGGGCCTGTCTGTGGAGCCTGTCTGTGGAGCCTGTCTGTGGGGCCTGTCTGTGGGGCCTGTCTGTGGGGCCTGTCTGTGGAGTCAGTCTGTGGGGCCTGTCTGTGGAGCCTCGTGATCCAGGCGCATGTGTTCTGTGGAGCCTGTCTTGTGTGTTCTGATGTGCTGTCTTGTGTGTTCTGATGTGCTGTCTTGTGTGTTCTGATGTGCTGTCTTGTGTGTTCTGACGTGCTGTCTTGTGTTCTGACGTGCTGTCTTGTGTGTTCTGATGTGCTGTCTTGTGTGTTCTGATGTGCTGTCTTGTGTGTTCTGATGTGCTGTCTTGTGTTCTGATGTGCTGTCTTGTGTGTTCTGATGTGCTGTCTTGTGTGTTCTGACGTGCTGTCTTGTGTGTTCTGATGTGCTGTCTTGTGTGTTCTGATGTGCTGTCTTGTGTGTTCTGATGTGCTGTCTTGTGTGTTCTGATGTGCTGTCTTGTGTGTTCTGATGTGCTGTCTTGTGTGTTCTGATGTGCTGTCTTGTGTGTTCTGATGTGCTGTCTTGTGTGTTCTGATGTGCTGTCTTGTGTTCTGATGTGCTGTCTTGTGTGTTCTGATGTGCTGTCTTGTGTGTTCTGATGTGCTGTCTTGTGTTCTGACGTGCTGTCTTGTGTGTTCTGATGTGCTGTCTTGTGTGTTCTGATGTGCTGTCTTGTGTTCTGATGTGCTGTCTTGTGTGTTCTGATGTGCTGTCTTGTGTGTTCTGATGTGCTGTCTTGTGTTCTGATGTGCTGTCTTGTGTGTTCTGATGTGCTGTCTTGTGTTCTGACGTGCTGTCTTGTGTTCTGATGTGCTGCCTTGTGTGTTCTGATGTGCTGTCTTGTGTGTTCTGATGTGCTGTCTTGTGTTCTGATGTGCTGTCTTGTGTGTTCTGATGTGCTGTCTTGTGTGTTCTGATGTGCTGTCTTGTGTTCTGATGTGCTGTCTTGTGTTCTGACGTGCTGTCTTGTGTTCTGACGTGCTGTCTTGTGTTCTGATGTGCTGTCTTGTGTTCTGATGTGCTGTCTTGTTTGTACACAGGTGGTTGTGTAAACAGGTGGCTGTATACACAGGTGGCTGTATACACAGGTGGTTGTGTACACAGGTGGCTGTATACACAGGTGCTTGTATACACAGGTGCTTGTATACACAGGTGGCTGTATACACAGGTGGCTGTATACACAGGTGGCTGTATACACAGGTGGCTGTATACACAGGTGGCTGTATACACAGGTGGCTGTATACACAGGTGGCTGTATACACAGGTGCTTGTATACACAGGTGCTTGTATACACAGGTGCTTGTATACACAGGTGGCTGTATACACAGGTGGCTGTATACACAGGTGGCTGTATACACAGGTGGCTGTATACACAGGTGGCTGTATACACAGGTGGCTGTATACACAGGTGCTTGTATACACAGGTGCTTGTATACACAGGTGGGTGTATACACAGGTGGCTGTATACACAGAGGGTAATGGTAAGGGGCGAGAAGTCGGACTGGCGAACAGTAACAAGTGGAGTGCCTCAAGGATCGGTGCTGGGACCAATCCTCTTTCTAATTTACGTAAATGATATCTTTACAGGAGTGGAATCATACATGTCAATGTTTGCGGATGACGCAAAATTAATGAGAAGAGTTGTGACAGATGAGGATTGTAGGATCCTCCAAGAGGACTTAAACAGGTTGCAGAGATGGTCAGGGAAATGGCTACTGGAGTTCAACACCAGTAAATGTAAAGTTATGGAAATGGGATCAGGTGATAGACGACCAAAAGGACAGTACACAATGAAGGGGAACTGCCTACCTGTAACGACTCGAGAAAGAGACCTGGGAGTGGATGTGACACCTAATCTAACTCCTGAGGCACATATAAATAGGATAACGACAGCAGCGTACTCTACACTGGCGAAAATTAGAACTTCATTCAGAAACCTAAATGAGGAGGCATTTAGCATACTCTAAGACTGGTCTCACGTAGGCAGTGTAAAGCCTACGTGAGACCAGTCTTAGAGTATGCCGCGCCATCATGGAGCCCCCACCTGAAGAAACACATAAGGAAACTAGAGAAGGTTCAGAGGTTTGCGACGAGGCTTGTCCCAGAGTTACGAGGGATGGGATATGAAGAACGTCTGAGGGAACTGAACCTTACGACACTAGAGAAAAAAAGGGAGAGAGGAGATATGATAGGAACATATAAAATACTCAGGGGAATTGACAAAGTGAAAATAGATGAAATGTTCACACGTAATAATAACAGAACGAGGGGACATGGGTGGAAACTGGAAACTCAGATGAGTCACAGAGATGTTAGGAAGTTTTCTTTTAGCGTGCGAGTAGTGGAAAAATGGAATGCACTTGGGGAACAGGTTGTGGAAGCAAACTCTATTCATAATTTTAAAATTAGGTATGATAGAGAAATGGGACAGGAGTCATTGCTGTAAACAACCGATGGCTGGAAAGGCGGGATCCAAGAGCCAATGCTCGATCCTGCAAGCACAAATAGGTGAGTACACAGGTGACTGTATACACAGGTGGCTGTATACACAGGTGGCTGTACACACAGGTGGCTGTATACACAGGTGGCTGTACACACAGGTGGCTGTACACACAGGTGGCTGTACACACAGGTGGCTGTATACACAGCTGGTCTTCACTAAAACACCCACCACCTGCTGTTCGCAGTTCAACTTTTATATGAGTCGAGAAACACACAAAAACTCACCATTAAAACTAGACAAAGTTGAGTCATTACCTGAAGTTGGGACACATTACCGGGATACATGCTCTCAGCCGGACAAAAAGGGCACATTACTGAGGATAATGACCGCAACTGCGGAGTATATTTTGACCCAGGTTTATAGAAGGCAGGCCCTATGGAAAGGCTACATTGATTGTTAGTGGAGAGAGGGAGACAGAGAGAGAGAGAGAGAGCGAGAGAGAGAGAGTCAGAGAGAGAGTCAGAGAGAGAGAGAGTCAGAGAGAGAGTCAGAGAGAGAGAGTCAGAAAGAGAGAGAGCGAGAGAGAGAGAGTCAGAGAGAGAGTCAGAGAGAGAGAGAGTCAGAGAGAGAGAGAGTCAGAAAGAGAGAGAGTCAGAAAAAGAGAGAGAGAGAGTCAGAGAGAGAGAGAGAGAGAGAGAGACAGAGAGAGAGAGAGAGAGAGAGAGAGAGAGAGAGAGAGAGAGAGAGAGAGAGAGAGAGAGAGAGAGAGAGAGAGAGAGGAGAGAGAGAGAGAGAGAGAGAGAGAGAGAGAGAGAGAGAGAGAGAGAGAGAGAGAGAGAGAGAGAGAGAGAGAGAGAGAAGAAGAAAATTTACTGTATTCCATGTTGATGTATTGAGTCGCAAGAGTATACTAGTAACTAATGGTGTTCTTCATGTAATTATACCATGCTGGGTAACGAACCTGGTGTCCCTGAGGAAGAGTTGAGCACTGTACTCTCCAGCCAGAGCGTCGCGGGAGCCGAAACACCGACCATAACACTACAATGTACACAGACCTACATAGACCTATGGTACCAGTGTAGTCTTAATGACACTCAACGAGGGTGGAGCCCGGTTAATATTCACCAATCATTGTTACCTGGTACCAGGCGTGTAGCCGGTGCCAGGAGGCTGTGAGGACGACGCCTGGGTGATGGACGAGTGGCTCCAGGTGCTGTTGAAGATACTGAAGGTCATCACTTGGGCTCCCTCACACACCTCCTCGGTATCAAAGTTACTTTAAATTCCATATGAGAATTATGGTATGATGTGCAGGTGTGTGTGTGTGTGTGTGTGTGTGTGTGTGTGTGTGTGTGTGTGTGTGTGTGTGTGTGTGTGTGTGTGTGTGTTTTCTCCATGCGTACTCACACACTTATTTTTATATTTCTCTTCAGGCGTGAGGCAGTGAGGGGTGCCCCGGGGACCATCAACACAGGACATCGTCAGAAGGATGGCCACCTTGCTGCAACGTTAGTACACCGAAGAGCGATACACAGTGATTTACAGTGATGTCAGAGTGTCGTAAGTGACCCTGGTGTGTGGCACCCAGGTCCTTGTTGTACACAGTGCCATCAGGGGGCACCGGGAGGCTGGCTGACCAGACCCTTGTGGCACTCACCGGGTCAAAGAAAAATATTACAGAAAGCCAGGTGATTGGATAGACTTGTGTGGTTCTCTTTAAGCCACATCACTCAGGTGGTTCCTACAGAGCCACAGGACTGGTGCGTCTCACAGAGCCACGGGACTGGTGCGTCTCACAGAGCCACGGGACTGGTGCGTCTCACAGAGCCACGGGACTGGTGCGTCTCACAGAGCCACAGGACTGGTGCGTCTCACAGAGCCACGGGGCTGGTGCGTCTCACAGAGAAAACGGGACTGGTGCGTCTCACAGAGCCACAGGACTGGTGCGTCTCACAGAGCCACGGGACTGGTGTATCCAATAGAGCCGTAGGACTCTGGTGCTTCCATAGAGCCGCAGTACACCAGTGAGCACCAGGGGACCGTAAGACAGCTGCAGTGCTACCAACCTGTGCGCCCAAGAACCCAACACCCAGATGGTAGCACTGTCTTACACCTGCTACTTAGAGTACATTTCATGTTTGAGGTAATTCCGTTTAGTCTGCCACAAAACTGGTGTTCGCTGCCGTCTCAAAGACTGCTGGTAGAAGCGACATGGATGGTGGAGGCACATGCGTATCGTCTTGTCAGGATTCGCCAAGAAAACGTAAGAAACCATCGCGTTTATCCTCGTCGTCGTCGTGGATTACTGAAGAGAGTTGTGATATCGACGACCAGTCGCCCACCTGGGTGTACATGACGGTGTGGGTGGCTGGGGTCCTGGTGTACGTCAACGGGCTGACGGGGGAGTTGGTCCACGACGACGTCAGTGCCATCAAGACCAACCCGGACGTCCTCGGCACCAACCCGCTCTCTCACGCCTTCTTCAACGACTACTGGGGCAAGCCCATGTGTGACCCGCTCTCTCACAAGTCTTACCGCCCCTTCACTATCATCACCTTCAGGTTCGTCCTCCTCCTGCTACTCTCGCCTCTAATTATATATTTGTTTTCACCTTTCACCAGCCCAACCACTTGGGCTGGACGGCAGAGCGACGGTCTCGCTTCATGCAGATCGGCGTTCAATCCCCGACCGTCCAAGTGGTTGGGGCACTATTCCTTCCCCCGTCCCATCCCAAATCCTTATCCTGATCCCTTCCCAGTGCTATATAGTCGTAATGGCTTGGCGCTTTTCCTTGATAATTCCTTCCTTCCTTCACCTTTATTTCACTTACAGAATACAAATACTTCTCAATAGAAACTAAACACTTATCCTATGCCCAACTGTACACGTAGTTCTAATAGATGATAAAAATAAGTAATATACGAGAAAATGCTTTGAATGCACAGTAAAGTGAAATTGATGAATACGTCTTTGTAAATTGAAACTCATCGCTTGTGTTATTTGCCTATAATGTTCTGTGTAAGAGTGGTGACTCAGTAAGGAATATAACAATCATATAATGAAACTTTATGTAGAATGAAGCAGCAACAAAGTTTCCAGAGCTATGGACAATAACAAGTTTGATAACAAAGATGTTCGTAACCAGCTTCAGAACCGATTGCTTCGTATGTATAGTTGACTGGCATGAGTAAAATACTCAAAAGAATTCCTTACAATAACTTCAGTACATCCTAGGAATAAATACCAAGAGTTACATAGCATTTCGAGGCTGGGTTCCGGCAGTGACTGTGATTGTTGCAGGATCAACCACTCGCTCTTCGGGTTACGGCCGCTGGGGTTCCACCTGGTGAATGTTCTGCTTCACTCGTGTGTGTGCTTGCTGCTGACGCGGCTCCTGCTTCGCCTGCTGCACCTGCCTCAAGGAACGGTCCTGTCCGCCGGCCTCATTTTCGCTACACACCCCGTCCATACTGAGGCCGTGAGTACCTCCTCTCTTTGGACTACCAACAGAAGCTGTCTTGCAGTCTGTTCGAGTGGTGGCAGATGAAACAACACCACTATATTCGAACAGTAGGAGGTGAAACGCAAGGTTTTCAAATCAATAACAGTAGCAGAAATAAAAGCCAGGTTTAACAGTTCATATCAAAGCAATAATATTAATAGATGCAGAACATCTTAAAATATTCCACGACGACAACAATGTCATCATGTTCACTACGAGAACATTTTAAACAACTAGTTTGTCACACAAACAATATTTTCCATCTTGGCAAACACACCAGTAGTCATACTGTTTCTTCACCTCTACCACAGTGACTTTTGATTTCTACAGAAAATTTATGTTAATGTAAATATTATTATTTTAGATATAATTTTCGTAGGTTTTACAACAAAAATTCATAAATTGCGTAAAGTAAATATAAATCTGAAGCATTAAAGCTTTTTATCGTCAATGCTTGTCACTGTTAACCCCATGTGTCTATAGGGGTTTTATAATGAGTTCCCCCAGAAGACTTGCGGACACATAGTCAGATACATAAACATTCTAAACATTTAGTTTGTGCTCCGACACATAGGAAGTTAACGCGGCGTGTGTAGCACCAACAACACACTGTGTACTTGACACATTTTTAAGGAGCACCACTTACGGGCTATTCATGCCCGTGCCACCTCTTGAGTGGCTTAATCTTTATCAATCTTTGAGGAGCCTCCGTGAGATATAAAGAGTGTGTGTGTGTCCTCTCCCTCCACGGGAGACATCTCCCGTCACGCAGGGTGCAGTTGCACCTCCACAGATCTCCAGTATCAGCTCTTGATACTGATAATGGCTCAAAAGGGCCACCACTTACGGGCTATTCATGCCCGTGTCACCTTTTAGGTGGCTTAATCTTCATCAATCAATCAATCCTCTCCGTCACAGGTGACAGGCCTGGTGGGGCGGGCGGATGTGCTGGCCTCCATAACCTTCCTGGCGGCTCTCCTCTCCTACCACAGGTAACTAACCTTCCTGGCGGCTCTCCTCTCCTACCACAGGTAACTAACCTTCCTGGCGGCTCTCCTCTCCTACCACAGGTAACTAACCTTCCTGGCGGCTCTCCTCTCCTACCACAGGTAACTAACCTTCCTGGCGGCTCTCCTCTCCTACCACAGGTAACTAACCTTCCTGGCGGCTCTCCTCTCCTACCACAGGTAACTAACCTTCCTGGCGGCTCTCCTCTCCTACCACAGGTAACTAACCTTCCTGGCGGCTCTCCTCTCCTACCACAGGTAACTAACCTTCCTGGCGGCTCTCCTCTCCTACCACAGGTAACTAACCTTCCTGGCGGCTCTCCTCTCCTACCACAGGTAACTAACCTTCCTGGCGGCTCTCCTCTCCTACCACAGGTAACTAACCTTCCTGGCGGCTCTCCTCTCCTACCACAGGTAACTAACCTTCCTGGCGGCTCTCCTCTCCTACCACAGGTAACTAACCTTCCTGGCGGCTCTCCTCTCCTACCACAGGTAACTAACCTTCCTGGCGGCTCTCCTCTCCTACCACAGGTAACTAACACTCGGCGTCTGCAACACCAGTGCCTCTGACGCGTGATTGTTTCCCCTGCTCCCAGGAAGTGACTCGTCAATCTCTTCCTTCACTTCTTCTCCGGGATTGAGAGCGAGGGCTGAAATATAGATCAATTAATGTCTTGCTTCCCAAGTTATCAACACTGTCTCAAGCTCGTTAATAATATAACATTAACTTTCTAAGTTAATGTTAACTTTCTAAGTTAATGAAAGTCACTCTAAGGAGAGTGACTTTCTCAACTTCCCATGACTAGAACATAATAAATGTAGATACGATAAATCCTAGAGTAATTTATCTAACAACTATGGTTATAATCAACAACATATCATTAACAACAACTAATTCATATATATATATATATATATTATATATATATATATATATATATATATATATATATATATATTTTTTTTTTTTTTTTTTTTCATTGAATATGACCGCATATTCTGTATTTATTATTTTCTGGTTTAGGGCTTCTATCCCTCTAACTATTTTCTTAGCATCAGGGCTTAATTGAAATAGGAGTTCTCCAAAACTCATTTTCGTACTTTTAAGGTGAAGAAAAGAAGTGATTTACTATAGAGTGTATTACACTTATTTGTATAATTTGCACGACGTTTCGAACCTCCATGGTTCATTCTCAAGTGAACAGATCTTACAATACTAGTTGATTTTATACCCGCATTAGGTCAGGTGATAATACAATGAAGGTGAAAACATGGGGGGATACATAAGGGATAAACATAGGGGCTGCAGAAGGCTTATTGGCCCATACGAGGCATCTCCTATCTAAACACAAAGATTAATCCAGTGTAATTGGCCTGTTATGTTGGACATTGTCTTCTGTGTTGGCATCGATATGTTCTTGTCTTGTCCTTACTCTCATGGTGGGTAGAGTAAATAGTTCCGTGATTTGGGTGTTCATGGTAGGTCGCTCTATTCTTATGTGAATTGCCTCAAGAATTTGTAATCTTCTTGAATCTTGGGTTTTGTCTATTATGCAAGTATTCTTGTTCAACATTTCTCTTGTTAGAGTAATGTCATGGGCTTGTCTCATGTGATTCCTAGGGGCACCAGATTGAAGATGGCATGTCAAACGCCTCGTCAGCTTGGTCGACGTCATACCTATGTACTTACATTGAAGGTTACATCCTTCGTGGGGGCAAGTGTACATGTATACAACGCTTGACTGCTGTAGATTACACTGGATTAATCTTTGTGTTTAGATAGGAGATGCCTCTTATATGGGGGATCCAACTTGTACATACCAGGGCTCACACTGAGGCTGTTGTTACAATGTTTGATCAGAACAGAGTCGATCACTTTTCGTTCAACAAAACCCTTACTTTTAACAATACATTTTGCCCCTATGAAGTTGATAGAATGATCGCATAAACTCAAATGAAAATACAATGCACTGGAGTGCTGGGCTGTACCCAGCACTCCCACTACAGCTCAGCACCCCAGAGCATTGTATTTACATTCCAGTTTATGCGATCATTCTATCGACTTCACAGGGGCAAAATGTATTGTTAAAAGTAAGGGTTTTGTTGAACGAAATGTGATCGTGTCTGCTCTGATCAAACATTGTAACAACAGCCTTAATGTGAGCCCTGGTATGTACAAGTTGGATCCCCCATACAAGCCTCAATATAGCACGTCAAAACAATATAGCATCCATATAACCTGTATGGCACTTCTATATATTAACAAATGTGTTTACTGAGAGCAGAGCGATTGAGACCAACGTGGAAAACCGTGAAGGTGAAGATGGCCTCGACAATGACAAGGAACCAGCGAGAAGAGGCACAGGAGGCGTGGAAGGGCGGCGAGGCGGCTCAATCTCAGCAGAAGCTGGAAACAGAAGTTGCGGGTTCCTTGTGGACAGCAGCAGGCGAGATGGTACAAGGCTCCTGAAGGAGGAGATAGGTGGTGGTGGTGGGGGCGGAGATGAAGAGTGGGTGTGGATGGTGAGGGTGGGGGTGTTAACAGGGGTGGGCACGCTGTGTAAGGAACACGCCATCACCGCCCTCCTCGCTTGTGGTGCTTGGGATCTTATCCTGCACAGGAAACATATTAGCAGGTAAGGTGGTCACGCGTCCTCAGGCCTTCCTCGCTTAATTTGATAATTATAATATTAAATAAATTAATCATTTAATTTGTTTATGGAACTGTTATTTTGTCGAGGTTCTTCCATGTCGCAGATACATAACAAACTCCTGAGAGTAATATAATTCTATACATTCTGGTAGTGAATCTGTTTTCCCTGCAGAGTACAGACCAGGCACTCCTTAACCAGACTCTTGAGAGCACTGCTACGGAGGGTCTACTGGCTGTGTTTCATGGTGAGTAAGAGCATTGAATTAGAAATAGTATTAAAAAGTAAGTCCCTAGCTTAAAGGTTTAGGCTCTTAGCTGATTGACTTGTTTATTGATTGTAAGGTTTCTAGGATACATGCAGGGACCATGTATCCTAGAAACCTTACAATGCCAGGTCATGCATTGACCTGCCAATGAGGCAGGTCATGCCAACACAGAGTGTGATGACGGAGAGGTCATCAATAGGGTGATGATGACCTCTCTGTCACCATCACCCATCACTCTCTCTTTGTAGAGAGGTCATCAACAGAAATAAGAACAGCACAGCTACCACTGATGAAAAGAAAAGACCAGATCAACCACCTCTCCTCTCAGGACACTCGCTCTAACTATATATATATATTGCTGCTATGTTATTTTACATGACGTTATTAACCTATCACCATTTCCGCCGTTCACTTAAGGATGAAGTAATGTGACATTATCATCCAAACTTCTAGCAATCAATGTGGTGTTCAATAGGAAATTTCTCTGTACCCAAGTGAATGGGAGACATGCCTAAAATTATGCATATATATATTTATATATATATATATATATATATATATATATATATATATATATATATTTATATATATATATATATATATATATTTATATTATATATATATATATATATATATATATATATATATATATATATATATATATATATATATATATTTATATATATTTCATATATTTCTTTCATAGTGGCGTGATATATCAATGACAATAATTTTGAGGCAATAGAGTGACTGGAACTGGCGTTCGAGTCTCTCCATTGTGTGTGTGTGAGTAAACCAAGTTGTGTGTGTGGTGATGCAGGGAGGAGTGGTGCTGGTGTTCCGTGTGTGGATGCTGAGTGGGACGTCACCAAGCTTCAGTGATCAGGACAACCCAGCAGCCTTTGCTGCCTCTTCTTTAACCAGGTGGGTCAGCTCCGTACCTTCACAGTCTTCCCTCTTAACATGATGGGATAACCCACCGTCCTCTTAACATGATGGGATAACCCAGCGTCCTCTTAACATGATGGGATAACCCAGCGTCCTCTTAACATGATGGGATAACCCAGCATCCTCTTAACATAACCTAACATCCTCTTAGCATGATGGAACAACTTATCATCCAACCTAACCTTCCTCTTCATCCGAAAGGACAGTCCAAAATTCTCCGCGGCCTTATTCTAATTCTTAATCCGTCGTTTCTTTTCTCAGGCACAGAATCATTAGTTTCTTTCATGTAAGTCAACAACAGCATTCATCCTTCGCGTTCTTTTAAGAATCCAGATTGATGAATACATCCCAAGAACTGCTCGAGTTCTGACATTTGAACTCATATTCTTCTTGAAGTCACATAAATATTCTTAACATTGTTTTCAGCTCTAATACTGAAGGTGAATGGTATATATATATATATATATATATATATATATATATATATATATATATATATATATATATATATATATATATATATATATATATATATATATTGGTAGCAGTCTTTCCTGTAGACATATATTATTAAATATGACCGAAAAAGTAAGATTAATAATTCTAACACGAATTTTCTCGATCTTTCGTACGTTTCTTTTCACTGTTGGTGGTAATTCAAAAATCAATTCTCCAAAATTCATTTTTATTTCTAGTCTGACGCGACACTTGAGCGCGTTTCGTAAAACTTATTACATTTTCAAAGACTTTAGTTTACACATACACAACTGAATAGAACTTACACATCTTCGATTGTTTATATCTACATTTGAGTGAGGTGGATGGGGTGAGGTGGTATTAATAGGGTATTAAATTCCTAAACACAAGACAGAACATGAAACAATGGGTATTGAATGGAAGTGATTGTAGAAAGCCTATTGGTCCATATTTCTTGATGCTTCTATATTGGAGCGTAGTCTTGAGGTGGGTAGAATATAGTTGTGCATTAATTGGCTGTGATTGCTGGTGTTGACTTCTTGATGTGTAGTGCCTCGCAGACGTCAAGCCGCCTGCTATCGCTGTATCTATCGATGATTTCTGTGTTGTTTACTAGGATTTCTCTGGCGATGGTTTGGTTGTGGACATATAATCTTTTCCACAACCTTATATATATATATATATATATATATATATATATATATATATATATATATTATATATATATATATATATATATATATATATATATATATATATTTATTTATATTTATATATTCCTGTATAAATTCATTATCTCAAGCTGTATTTTATATTGTTTTACCGCTATTGCTTTATTATTCATCTTTATTTTGTTTCTGTATTTACAATCTTATTAAACAGGAAAAGACCTCATGGGCTGTAATCATTTAACTTAAGCCTACAGATTTGGGACTATAAAGCTCTTTCGTATATATATATTAGTTTTATTTGGTCAAAATTAAATACAAGTTTAGTTTTTTCCAAACATTCCTCAACGTGATTCTGTAATTATGCGTTTTGCAGATTGTATACTTGCACCGCTAGTCTTTTTAGATCCTAATTTTGGGTTTATTTCAATTTTTTATCAATTGTTTCTTGTGGTACAGGCTGCTGACGTTCTTGTACCTGCCGGCGTTCAACGCGTGGCTGCTGGTGTGTCCGTGGCGGCTGGCCCACGACTGGCAGACGGGCGCCATCCCGCTCCTTACCTCCCCCGCCGACCCCAGGAACCTCGCCACTCTCTTGTTTTACGCCGCCCTCGTCCTCATCCTCAGAGCCGCCTGCCTCACCAAGGTCCTTCCTCCCCGTCATGGCTACACTCATTTATATTATATATCTATATATATATATATATATATATATATATTATATATATATTATATATATATTGTACCTAGTAGCCAGAACGCACTTCTCCGCCTACTATGCAAGGCCTAATTTGCCTAATAAGCCAAGTTTTCATGAATTAATGTTTTTTCGACGACCTAACCTACTACCTAACCTACCTACCCTACTTTTTCGGTTACCTAACCCAACCTAACCTATAAAAATAGGTTTAGGTTAGGTTAGGTAGGTTTGGTTAGGTTCGGTCATATATCTACGTTAATTTTAACTACAATAAAACAAAATTGACCTCTACATAATGAAATGGGCAGCTTTATCATTTCACAAGAAAAAAAATTAGAGAAAATATATAGTTCAGGAAAACTTGGCTTATTAGGCAATCGGGCCTTGCAATAGTAGGCTGAGACGTGCATTCTGGCTACTAGGTACGACATATATATATATATATATATATATATATATATATATATATATATATATATATATATATTATATATATATATATATATATATATATATATATATAAGGCACAACTCTCCTAAACACGAAAGTCAAGTATACACTGTTTCCCATATTACAGGGACTTGATGAAATTAACGTCTAAATGACCCCCACTTGCTCTAGTGCTCTTGGGAGTGTTGATCTTTGTGTGAATTTAAATACTCCGAAGTTACCATCTCTTTTAAGGTCTGAGCAGGTGGTGGAGAGGTTAAGGGTACCTGTTATGCCAGTTGCTGGAAGGCTTCCTGGCTGGCTAGGGTTCGAGTCTCCTGGTGGGAAAGTGTTCTAAAGTTGTATATATATATATATATATATATATATATATATATATATATATATATATATATATATATATATATATATATATATATATATGTCGTACCTAGTAGCCAGAAACGCACTTCTCAGCCTACTATGCAAGGCCAAATTTGCCTAATGAGCCAAGTTTCCGTGAATTAATATATTTTCTCAAATTTTTTTCTTATGAAATGATAAAGCTACCCATTTGATTATGTATGAGGTCAATTTTTTTTATTGTAGTTAAAATTAAACGTAGATATATGACCGAACCTAACCAACCCTACCTAACCTAACCTAACCTATCTTTATAGGTTAGGTTAGGTAGCCAAAAAAGTTAGGTTAGGTTAGGTTAGGTAGGTTAGGTCGTCGAAAAACAATTAATTCATGAAAACTTGGCTTATTTGGCAAATCGGGCCTTGCATAGTAGGCTGAGAAGTGCGTTCTGGCTACTAGGTACGACATATATATATATATATATATATATATATATATATATATATATATATATATATATATATATATATATATATATATATATATATATATATGCATTATAAGACACCTGAGGTGTCTCTAATTGGTTGATTTATGTATTCTCAGTTATTTAATTGTCAAGCTATTTTTGTATGTTTTTGTTTTCATTTATGCTCTTGTTTTCATTTATGCTCTTGTTTTCTTTATGCTCTTGTTTTCATTTATACTCTTGTTTTCATTTATGCTCTTGTTTTCGTTTATACTCTTGTTTTCATTTATGCTCTTGTTTTCATTTATGCTCTTGTTTTCATTTATGCTCTTGTTTTCATTTATGCTCTTGTTTTCATTTATGCTCTTGTTTCATTTATGCATTTATACTCTTGTTTTCGTTTATACTCTTTGTTTTCATTTATGCTCTTGTTTTCATTTCTGTCTTGTTTTCATTTATGCTCTTGTTTTCATTTATGCTCTTGTTTTCATTTATGCTCTTTGTTTTCATTTATGCTCTTGTTTTCATTTATGCTCTTGTTTTCATTTATGCTCTTTGTTTTCATTTATGCTCTTGTTTTCATTTATACTCTTGTTTTCATTTATACTCTTTGTTTTCATTTATGCTCTTGTTTTCATTTATGCTCTTTGTTTTCATTTATGCTCTTGTTTTCATTTATGCTCTTGTTTTCATTTATGCTCTTGTTTTCATTTATACTCTTGTTTTCATTTATACTCTTTGTTTTCATTTATGCTCTTGTTTTCATTTATACTCTTGTTTTCATTTATGCTCTTGTTTTCATTTATGCTCTTGTTTTCATTTATGCTCTTGTTTTCATTTATGCTCTTGTTTTCATTTATACTCTTGTTTTCATTTATGCTCTTGTTTTCATTTATACTCTTGTTTTCTTTATGCTCTTGTTTTCTTTAAGCTCTCGTTTTCTATATACTCTGGTATTCTTTATATTCCTATAAACGGAATTTTAAATTATGTTTCCACGTGTTTAGAGTAATTATATAAACACGTCCTATATTCCTGGTGGTCCTTGGAAAGAAATAATATATATTACATTTTACGCTGGTGATAAATAAGGATTAAAATTACAAGCCTAATTAAATTGATTCCTGATAAAAAAAGGACTTCGTGGACATGTAATTATATAATTGAAAAAGGTCTGATTAATTGCAAATTTAATATTATTAATTAACGGGTCGTGTAGGGTATTTTAATGTGACCTTGAAGCTAACTCGTGGGTTAGGTAGCATAGTGGTCCACGTTCTCAACTCACGCTCAGGGATCCTGGGTTCAATCCTCGGACGGGGCTTAACTAGTTGGGCATGTTTTCCTTTCTCTGATGCATCTGTTCTCTGGCAGTAAATAGGTATACCCAGGAGTTAGGCAGCTGTAGTGGGTTGCATCCTGGGTGGGGGGGAGGGGGTCAGTATTGCGACCTTCTGGTAGGGGGGGGCGGGAGGGAATTATCAGGGGAAAGCGCCAAGCCATTACGAACTATATAGCACTTGGAAGGGATCAGGATAAGGATTTGGGATGGGACGGGGGGGAGGGAAGGAATGGTGCCCAACCACTTGGACGGGGGGGGGGTTAAAAGGTTGAATATAAGCCTAAGTTCAGGCTTCCTGTCCCGGACAACGGAAATTTTATGAGAAAAATATTGTAGTTAAAATCAAATACAAAGTTAAAGAAATCTTGAACTCTAATCTTGCTTAGAAGACCTTGTCAGTGGCTATCTTGCAAGCTGTCTGTGTTTTACTCTCAACTGCTCGTTCACGCCCATTTTAGTCTTATATGTCTCATACATTATAGGCCTTGTGTGAAATTGTTCATTACATAACCTCTTTCAATCCTCTAAACTAAATTATCATTATACAGTATATAACATCTTATATGTAGACTTGCAACGCAGTCTTTATTAAGGCTTCCTGTCTGTCTGCTCTTATCGTTTCTTTTAATATACATTTTCCAAAGTCTTTCCATTCTCTTTTAATTCTCAGTTATTGCAAGTTCTTTATCTCTCTCTGTTCCTCCATTTGAGAGTGACATGTCCCTCATCCACCTCTCTGCCGCCCTGTCACTTCATCTCTGGCAAATCCCATCAATCACATTCCTCCCTTCACAACACCGAATATTTCCCCGCCACCCCACTCTCTTGTCAATCTTAATATTTCATTCCTTACTTTCATTACAGTGCCCACTACCCCATCTGTCATTCTCTCTCTCTCTCTCTCTCTCTCTCTCTCTCTCTCTCTCTCTCTCTCTCTCTCTCTCTCTCTCTCTCTCTCTCTCTCTCTCTCTCTCTCTCTCTCTCTACGTGATGCTCTTCCCCACCACCAGTGTCAGGAGGGGCGGCCGGTGCTCCTGGGGCTGGCGCTGCTGGTGTTGCCCTTCCTTCCCGCCACCAATCTCCTCTTCTCCGTCGGCTTCGTCGTCGCCGAGAGGATACTATACCTCCCCAGGTGAGTCTACCTCCCCCAGGTGAGTCTACCTCCCCAGGTGAGTCTACCTACCACCAGTGAGTCTCTTGTTTCATTAGGAGAGTCTTTTATGGTGAGATGAGTGTTTTGTATCGTGAGATGAGTCGCCTATATCGTGAGGTGAATCACGAAATAGGAGATAGTGAGGATAATCCCTAGATTAATTACCACGTGACCCCCTGAGGTACTCGGGTACAAAACAAGAACCCTGGGGGAGTTCAACTGTCCATTCGTGTATACGTTCAAGCCACAAGTAGCGTCATTCTAAGAAAACGGACGGTTGTGTGTCTCCGTCAGCTTGGGGTACGCGGTGCTGGTGAGCGTCGGGCTGTCTCGTGTGGGCCGTCTGAGGACGCCCTCTCTCCTCCTCCTGCTGGCAGTCTTCTCCTGCAGGACCCTGCACAGGAACCGGGACTGGAGCTCTAGGGAGACGCTCTTCATGTAAGTTGGGCTCTTCCTTCTTCGTCAGAAGTTGGGCTGTGGTGTGTGTGTGTGTGTGTGTGTACGTCGGGCCTTCAGGAGTGGAATGAATATGTTGAAGGGAATCTTTTGTGGCTCACAGTGTAGAGAAGGGAGTGTAACACTGCAGCAAGTGCCGGGTGAGGCAAGACTGGCGGAGACACTGACTCTGGAGTGTGTCAGTGTTGTGACATGTGCGGGTGTGACAACTAGGATGAATGTGACCTTCAAGACAGACACGGATATGATGGTGATGCTGGTGGTATTAGTCCCCCTCCCCCCCCACCATACACATTGATAGTGATAGCAGCCTTCAGGATGGGCATCAATGTGACGTTGACAACAGCTCACAAGATGATGAATGTGATGGTGATATGGAGTGTAATCAATATATATGAAAGCTCTCAGATTTTTTAGTTTCCCTTTTGGGTACTTGTCCATAATTTTATCACGTTTTCGTAATGATTATTATTATAAATGTGTATATTAGTGACCCCCTAAACCAATAAATCTACAAGAGCTCTATAACCGGACCAGGATTCGAACCTGCCACTACCAGCACCCACTGACGTACTGTGTTCGAATCCTGGTGGGGTCATAGAGGTCTTAGTGATGTCTAATGGTGTGTGTGTGTGTGTGCAGGGCGGGGCTGAGGACGCTGCCGAACAACGCAAAGATGCACTACAACTTTGCCAACCTGCAGAAGGACCTCGGCAACACGGAACTCGCTAAGCACCATTATGCTGAAGCCATTAGGTGAGTACCTCACCCACTGCTGACGTCCACGACCTGTTCATCATACTCACCTCT